CGGGTTGTTTTGGTGCAGCCGCAACCTCTCTTCCCTCATCTTTCTCTTTTTCTTCTTCCCGAGCAGCCGGTTCAACTTCAACTTCATCGGGCTTCTTTGTTGTGGCAGCATGTTCTAGTTCTCTTCCACTCCTCAAGGTGACTACCTGAACATGTTCTCTTGGGTTTGGCTCGGTGTTACTAGGGAGGGATCCCTTAGGCCTCTCATATATGGCTTTTGCAAGCTGCCCCAATTGATTTTCCATGTTCTGCATCCTTGCATTTGCTTGTTGAGTATTTATATCAGAAGTTTGTATGAAACGTTTGAGGATTTCCTCCAAGCTAGCAAACTTTTGTTCAGTCTCTCTCCTAAAATTTCCTTGCCCCTGTTGAGGTGTTTGCTGCTGCCTTGAGGTGCTTGGGGCTGATTATAGTTCCTAGACTGCTGCTGCTGATTTCCTTGCCCGTAGTTCCCTTGTTGCTGTTGTCCGTAAGGCTGATTGTAGTAGCCCTGCCGCTGATAATACATCGCACCCACTTGCTCTATTCCAGGGGCTGCCGAGTGTCATCATAGTGCATTCATGCGGAGAATGGAGTCCCCCACACATAGTACAAGAGGGACTAATAGGATCGGGGGCTACCATATTAACACTGGGCACCGAGAGAGCAAGATCCGTCTTCTTCCGATTATCTTCCACAGTGGTAGCTAGCTTCTGAATCATACTAGTCAAAGTATCTACCCTTGTAGAAAGGGCAGAATTATCACTGATCTCATACAAATCTGGGGCCTTCTGGTGAGGTGTGTCCCGAGAGCTGTACCATGAAGCGTTATTCGACACAATCTTCTCAACTAGTTCTTCCGCAACCTCAGATGGTAATTGAGGGAAAGCTCCACCTCCCGAAGCATCAAGCATCATCTTCCCTTCATTGCTGAGTCCACTGTAGAAGCAAAATAGAATCTCACAATCAGTCATCTTGCCTTGAGGGCAAGCTCTTCTCAGCACTTTAAATCTCTTTCATGCCTCAGCCAATGTCTCCAACGAGCCTTGCTTGAAGTCTTGCAGCTGCTTCTTCAACTTTATAGCCTTTGATGTTGGAAAGTAGTCTTTGATGAAGGCCTTATGCAGCTGATCCCACGTCTGAATATGGTGATGTGGATTATTTTCCAACCACCTCTGCGCATCATCCCTCAATGAGAAAGGGAACAATAACATCTGTACCCGATCATCATCTAGCCCAGTGATCTTGAATGTCTGGCACATCCTCGGGAATTTGGTAATATGTGCCACTGGATCTTCTGTAGGGCTCCCCCCAAACTGATTATTCAAGACCATGTTGATAACCGCTGGCTTGATCTCGTAGCGGGGTGCAGTAATTCTTGTTTTTGACTTGTTTTGACAGATGCCGCCAAGACAAAAGCACATTAGAGGTTCGGGTGCCAGTTCTAGCAGGGCCAATGTTGCCCGGTACCAACCGAAGTTTCCACTACTCAGGGATGAGCTGAAGTACGTTGAGCTGCTACCTAAAAGCATGGACACTTTGTACTACCCTGATGAGGCCTCACTCACTGCACCAGGAGTGAGAGATGAGGTGATGCACCTCCCGACGGGGTGGTGGAGGCATCTGTTCTATGGGATTAGAGACCCCACATATAGAGAGATTACATGTGAGATTTTGACCACATTTCGGATGACCAAGGAGATTGCTATCGAGGACAACCATAGGCCCGTCATCAAGTTCCGGGCATTTGAGGAGGAGCATGCCATTTTCATGGCAGAGATGTACTAACATTTGAGGTTTACTAGGATCGAGGATGATGGCCAACATGTGGTCATTTGGACAACTTCCCACCCAAAGTTAAACGCCAGGCCTTTTGGGAGTCCATTACTAATGGGGGTGGAGAATACCGGCCGAAGATGTCTCCGAGCACGCTCCTCTATCCACGACAGTACCGTATCATTCATACCCTTTTCTCATCCACTATCATCGGCAAAGCCGAGGTTGCCGGAAAGGTCACTGCTACATACTTATTCTGCCTTTATGGCATGGTCCATAATCGTAAGCCCCACATGGGCTATCTCATTGCCAAGCTCCTCCACCGCCAGGCCACGAACCATATTAAGTCCATATTTGCTGGCCCATTCATCACTCGACTACTGACGGGGATGAGATTTGGAGACCAGTTAGAGAGGATGGAGGAGAGCTCTAGTTTTGTTGCATTGACCCAGCTTCCCGAGGTCAACACTGGAGTGGCGAGGAGGAGGCCACAGTTGCAGCTGGCGGCGGCAGCAGGAGGAGGACAACGGACAGGCGATGAAGATGATGATGAGAGCGATGAGAAGATGGAGGAAGTTGCACACGACATTCCATATGATGCACCCCCTATGGTCGCACGTTTCCTGATACTTGGGCGGGGTGCACGCGCATCAGGACGCCGTTTACCATCAACTTTCCGCAGAGCAGCATGAACGGTTTGACCAGATGAGATTTGAGCAGCATGACTTCTACAGAGAAATGAGGGAGGGTGAGGCGATGCACTACACACAACTGCAGTCTCAGCATACGCCGATTGATGAGGGCCTCACTTCATTGGAGGATAGCTGACGCTCATTCTTTGACGGATACCCGCCACCTCCCCCCCAAGCAGTAGAGTTCATTATTATTAGATTCTGTTGGATGACTGTACACCTTAAACACTCTCACACTCTCACATTTTTATACTTAACTCTCTAATATGTTTTGCTTTGTTGTTAAATGAGGTGTTGCAGCTCAAAGAATGCTTAATGGATGACGTGCCGAGAGTTCAAAGACTCAGTTTAGTTCCGGACCGACCAACGCTATAGGGAACTTTCAATGACTCTTTTACTCGTTGTGTAATGTTGGCTTAAGTTGATTTTGAGCACGCGTGACTCTTTCCTCTTTACCCCATTTGCATAGTGCATTTTTGGTCATCTAGGGTGATGCCAAAGTTTAAGTGTGGGGGAGTGAATTGGGCATTCGCAGTAGTTGTTACATGTGATTTTTAGAGTTAGTATGCGCAGATGTTAGTTGTATATTCATAGGAAATTCATGTCAAATTTTTGATTTTTTTTTAAACGGTGTCTTTGTGAGTTGGCTAGCGTTTGACTATGCTTTTAAAATGTTTTAAAGTGTTTAGGATTAAATTGCTTGCATTATAATCTGGTTGTTGAAAGGATGAAGACATTAGTTACCCATGTAATGAATTAACAATTTTCCAATCGATCTGAATAAGTTCCTTTAGGAGAAGCCATTTAGAGTCTGACCGTTCGTTGTTTGCCCCAATTAATTGAGCTCCGTAGCCAAATGGGCTGCTTCCTTACCCGTGAATATTTCTGACTTAGTCTTGATGTTTAGGGAACTAAGGAATTAATTTGTTAAGTTTAGGGAATTTCTGTAGGAGCCAATTTTGGCACTGTTCCTATGCTCCAAATGGGTAAGAGAAGTCACTTTTTAGGAATTTGATATTTTCCAGGATTGCATTGTAGGCATGGATTCACTTTTAAATTAATGAACTTTTATTGCTATTTTTCCTTGGTGAGAAAAGTGGTTGAAAGTACGAGTATCGTCTCCACAGGGACGGACAAAAGGGAATTAAAGATTAGCTAAATTCAGCGTTTAAAAAGAAATAAATAAAACAAAATGCAATTGTGCGAGTTTGGTTGGTTGAGTAAAATAAAACTAATGCTAATGAGCGAGTAAAAATATTGGGGTTTCCTTAATTAACGACGAAGGGAGCAGTGATTGATTTCGGGGTTAACAAGATTTCTGGCAGATCAGGCCTAATTAAATGAAATTGATTTAATTGAGCCTAGCTAATCATTACTAAGTTCTTACCGCTCTCACGACGCAGAGTACAATAATTTAGGGGACCGGACTGATCTCTCATGCCACATGATCCTAAATTATTGCCAAGACGAGCGAGCTTACGGCCCCTTAATCGCTACTAATCTCTTAGCGAACGATTAAGTGTGTGTGAATGCGCCCTAGAATAAATTAGATATTTCTTAATTTATTCTACGTGCAATTGTAATTCTAGTGGCCATCTAGGTTACAAGAGATATCAGTTAAATTATTCAAACACAAATGAAACAACATTCATGTAATTAAACCGAAAGGAATCTAGCCATACATCATGATCAACCCCTTCATCAAACCTGAATCCCTAATTAAACTACTCACGCCTCATAATTGACGAATCAACATAATTGGAATGAATAGAATAAATTGTCAATAATTAAAAGAATTGAACTTACAAAGAATCTCAGGTTCTTGAAGTAAACAACGTGAAAACGCACATAAAATTCGTCCTCGGCCTCTCTCAAAGTTCGTCCCCTACAAAAAGGGGTATGGAGGCCTTATTTATAGAAAACGGGTGAATTTGAGCTGAATTAGGACAAATCGGGGTCAGGCACGACGCCAGGAACGATCGTGCCTTGACTGTGCCTGCGGAGCATTTGCGCGTTTTTTATGGAGGAACGATAGTGCCCGGCCCAGACACGATCTTGTCTGGCTGGCAGTAGCCCCTCGTGACTTTCTTCTTCAGGCACGATCGTGTGACTATTTCATGATGTTTTTTGCTCCAAATGCTCCAGGATGCCAATAAGGTCGATCCAAATGCTCTTTCTTCATCAGAATTTCGTCATGAATCTCCCGGTGACCTCCAAATCTCTCAAATCTTCCTCGAGTGCTTCCAAACTCTTCCCGATTGCCTCTTTAAGCGCCGATGCCGGTCTCTAACTTCTTCAATTCAACTCCAAATGCAACAAAACTCGACGCAACGCCTGATAATTACATCTCGAGCTAAAGTTGAGCTAAAATTGAGACTTGCAACACCTTAAAGCTAGGAAAACCATCAAAATCCGACTGCAACACACATCAAATGCGTGTTTTAATACGAACTTATCAATACAGGAGATACAGGATAACGCCGATGAGAAGATCATGGTATCATAACTTGTATGCCTTTAATACAAATAGGTTATTGTTTGTGGTTCTCAATAGGTTTTCAAATCTGGATTTATAGAAGATCAATCCAGGGAGGCTCTTGAAGTGGATTTTGCAAACAAGTATATAGGAGGTGGTGCTCTCAGTAGAGGTTGTGTCCAGGTTGTTAAATCAATAAAGCTAAGTGTGCATTTTTTTTGCAATAATTTATATTTAATTTTTTTGGTACATTCTTGTGTGCATGCGTCTATTGGATGATGAAAAGTTAGATAGCATTTCATACTTTCATCATCCAATACATGCACGCCACGCAGGAATGTACAAAAAAAAAGTATACGTAGCCTTACTCTTGTTAAATGCACTCCCTCTAGTTAATTATTTTTCCTTGGGTTCAATTTGTTTGATGCATACTTTAGTAAGCATATATGGACCCTCTCTAGCCTCTGCATTTACAAAAGAAGTGTATTTTGTTTTACTCTTGTATGATTGTATCCATGTCTTTTACTGTTTTATTTTCATGGTTGTCGGTTTTGGTAGTATGTTATGCATCTTGGAAGCGCCACAGCGAAGGAGAGTTGAATTATTATTCAAGTATAACACATTTTGTATCCTATTGCTAGAATGATTGTATTGTGTGGTGTTTCTGACTTTCAGTAAACCATGGTGAGTTCAGTAGCTATAGCAGAACACCAGGTTGTGGTTATGATGGAAAGAATCGAGTTTAGGATTTAATGGCTTAATGCAAATATATAATCTGACAACTGTTAAAAAGTACAAGTAATACGAAGTAGAACATATACTATATACTTGATAGAACTGGAAAACTGACTCCACTATTAGATATGCTTCAAGATCTTGCTGCTCTTTTGCTTAGCTCCACATAAGTTATTCTTGAACGTGTCTTATGAATTACTGAGCACATTTTACATTAGCGTTTTCTAGTTTTCTTTTTAGTAATAAACTAATGATCCCATGAATCATGAAACCTTCCTGTGGTAGTGTGATCCTTCTCAATGATTTTGGTTTTAAAGTCATCTAAGAATTGTTTTTGCAACTATCTTGTTTAGGAAGAAATTCGATTCATGATAAATCCAGAACTAATCGCTGCTTTGCTTTTCTTGCCTGCAATGGAAGATAATGAGGCGATAGAAATTATGGGCACTGAAAGATTTTTGAACTATACAGGGTAAGTACATACTTCATGCATGAACTATACAGGGTGAGTACATCTAGTTTTCATTTAGGAATATTGTCACTTGCACTATGCAACTGAGGATAACCTCATACATTACTCTATTTAACTGTGCTGTAGCTGAGGCCTGAGGACATTTTTGTTTTGTTTTTTGTATTTAAGCTCATGCATCATCAATCATCATCATGTACCTTAATTCAAACAATCTTGGGGTTGGTGTCCTCAAGCTTATAATGTCAATTAATTTAGTCATTGAAATAAGTTAGCATGACAAATTCATGCAAAAAGTATAGTGGCAAAGTTTTGTTCTGGATTTCCTTCATGATGCGAACTTTTTACAGAGCAATAATAGGTTGAAGTTTCAAAGTCAGTGTCATAATAATAAGTTCTTTCAAATTTCTTGGAGACAATCATGATATGATATGAATGGATACTTGGTATAGTCATGTCTCATTACAAGGTTCGATATTACTTAAGCCCGCTAATTATGCAAATTACATTTTCATGAACTACAGATTTGCTTCTTCTTTCCGGTTTTGTGGCGATTATGTGGATGAAAAGGGCATTGATCATCTTGGAAGGCGTAAGACGAGGGTGGTTGCCATAGATGCACTGCATAGTCCTGGGAAGAGACAATATACTCTTCAATGTCTTCTCCGGTAAGTCTGGTCTGTTATGCATTTATGTGATTTTTTATGTTAGCTTTAGGGCAGCCTGGTGCACATTGGCGTCCCCGCATAGCGATGGTCCAGATAAGGTCCCACCACAAGGTCCACAAGGTTGTTGAGAGGGCACGCCTTCCCTTAACCGGTGCCTCTCAAGAGACCACTCCCAAGATTCGAACCCGTGGCCTTGGTCACATAGCAACATCTTAAGCAACATCTTAACCGGTGCACCAAGGCTCCTCTTCTTATGTGATTTTCTATGTATGTCAATAAAATCGAATGGAAAATATATATACCCATATAATATCCATCTGCAATCCATATTTTCATTGAATTGCATCATTCAAAAACTTCAGAAATAAGAAATACGGATTCTCTTACCACTCTGGCATGTCAGTGTGTCACCGTAATGACTAAAGCACATCCATAGTACGAAAATCAAGCAAATCTTCTGCAGGGAGATCAACAAGGCATTCTGTGGCTTTTCTGATCAAGCAAATCACCATCTTCAACAATTCTCTCAAGCCAGCTCACCCCGTGAATGGCGGAGGAATAATGGTGATCAAGAAGACATGTGTGGAAGATTGATAGATAATCTCTCTGTGAGATATCATTCCTAAACTTTCTAGAACTTCCTATTTTAATCATTTATGACAAGTATTGTCTATATATGTGGCTTTTTATTCGTGCGGATATTTTTTTCAACTGTGACATGCAGTGTGTTGAACACCCTTCATCTTCAGTTCAAGCAATGGAAGGAAGTTGTGACAGCTTGCTGCTGAATATAAGACACATGAATGAAAATTGTGAGCTCCCAGAAACTCGACTTGAAATTGGAATTGCAACTGGGAATTGGGGCTGCGGTGTGTTTCACGGTAACCCTGAATTGAAAGCAATGTTGCAATGGATTGCTGCGTCTCAGGTATGACTCTCCTCGTTGTTTCTCTCCATTGTTTTCATCATACTAGTTTTAGGATCCGTTTGGATTTTGGAATTCAGAATTTAGGGATGAAACAAAATACTCCCTCCGTCCCTTAAAACTTTGCCAAGTTTGACCGGCACGTGGATTAATAAAGTAAAAACTGTGTGGTTGATGTTTGTGCAGAGGAGAGAGAATTAACTGGAACCACAAATTCTTTACTTGAAAGGGAAAATGGCAAAGTTAGTGGGACATCCAAACAAGGAAAGTTGGCAAAGTTTTGGACGGAGGGAGTATAAAATAAGAAGAAAAGAAAATTTGGTAAAAAAGGGTTTCTCAAACTAAATAAGTTCATTTTAGATATTTTTCAAACTCATTATATTTACTTATTTTTATTATGTAAAGGCTTGGATATCTAAATATATGTGTTCAAAAAAATTTCTGTTTTTCAGGCTATGAGACCTTTCATCTCATATTACACCTTTGATTTGGAAGCGTTGCATTTGCTAGATCAGGTATGTATGTGCATAACTTTTTCCAAAATCTCCCATTTGGGTTTTCACTCAATTACTGCGAGTCACCACTTATCCCACATCTGGAATAGGAATTCTTAGGAACTCTTATTGTTGGAAATTCCCAGTTCTTGAACCTATAGTCCATCACAGGCCCCTAGTATAGCATGGGTTTTGCTTAGTTCCCAGGAATGAGGTGACTTCTCGTAATTCAAACTGCATTTTTTAGTCATAACATTTTGTGTAATATTCGGCATAACGCAGGTGGCACAATGGATCATATCCCATGAGTGGACCGTGGGGGATCTATGGGATATGGTAGTGGATTATTCGTTTCAGAGATTAAGGGGAGAGACTCATCTTGGTTTCTTTAATTGGCTCCTTCCCTCGTTGCACTCGTCTGAAACCTCCGCAATGTTGGACGACTCTTGTCCTTGATCTCCATTTTTCTATATATCATATTGTACGCCTTGCTTCACTTTCACTTTCTCAGTATATGGATCCACTTTTGCCAGTTGCCTTTTTCTTTGTAATGCATTGATACTTTACTGGGCATTTTGTTTCCGTTAAACAAGTTCAAGATTCATCTTAGTATTTAGGAATTAATTTTGCATATTTAGAAACTATCGAATCTGAATACGTCAAAAAAGTGGTACGAAAGATTAAATATTATGAGAGTTGGACGGATTCTAGAATAGTGAATGAGACACGTAATTTGGAACAAATAGTCGATTAGAGGGGAGATATGAGTAGTGTTTTGCTTCTGCTTAAACTAAATACGTCTAAAGCTAAAAGTTAGGGGAGAATTGCTTTAAACTTGTATTAAATTTTTAACTTTTTAGTTTTATATTTTTCAAACACTATCAACTTGTACTATTAAACATTTCTTTTTCTACAATAAATCACTCCTCAAAAGTAAAATAAAAACATTTCTAGATAGAAACACATTCCCCATTCTTGTTGTGGTCAGCAGCCCCCTTTAAAGACAATATATGCATTGGAAAAGACATATATAGTCATTCCCCCAGCTAATGATCCACCCAACTAACGTACAACTGGTTCATTCTAAACAAAGAAACATAAATGAACAACTTCTCCCAGATCCATCTACTCCTTTAAATATTACTCCCTCCGTTCCTATTAAAACTTCCAACTTTCCTTTTTCGTCCGTTCCAATTAAAACTTTCACTTTCACTTTTTAGTAAAGAATTTGTGGTTCACAATATTTCTTACACATTTCTCTCTCCTCTGCACAACTCTCCACCACACAATATCCACTATCTTAAATTGTGTGCCAAACCTATTTGGAAGATAAAATAGGAACGGAGGGAGTACTAGACAAAGGCTGAAGCTTATGGCAGTTATGGGGATATTTTTTGCGTGCTTCCAAATATAACTGCACATTTTTTACAGAAGACATGATTATTAGGGATGTTTTTACTTGGACTGTATATCGTCCCATACCAGATCAGACCAGACTAGGGGTGGACTCGGGTCGGGCCAACCGGCCCGGAACTGGACCGGCCCGCCACTGTGCGGGCCCGGACCTGCCACTGTGCGGGCCCGGACCTGCCTGGTGAACTGGTTGGTGGTTGGCCGGTTCGGGCCACCCAGCCCGGTGGATTCTCGGTTCGGGCTCAGGCCCTTCAAAAGGTGAACCGGACCTGCCGGTTCGGGCCCGGGCCGGGCCATTTTTTATTTTATTTTTTTTTAAGTTTTTTGGTTGGGCAGGGTATTTTGGGCCATTTGAGGTTGTTAGGGTTGGTTTGGGGGTGAGGGGGAGGGTTGTGGGTTAAATAGGAAAAGCCCAAAAAAAAAAAAACCGAGGACCGGCCCGGACCCGGGGGTTACCCGGGCCTGTTCCGGGCCTCCCATACCTTGAACTGAGGCCCGGCCGGTTCAAGGCCCGAACCGGGCCCGGCCCGAACTGAGTCCATCCCTAGACCAGACCAGACTTAGATAGTTGTAAAAATACAAAGAAACCAGACCAGTACAGATCAGATTAGACCAGACCAGACCAGCAAATTACAAGTAAAAACATCCTAGCAACACATTCCAATTTTTTTTTAACTTCTTTATATTATTAATTCTTCCACAGTTATACATACATTACAAACAAGTTGAACAGACATCCTTTTAATTTTAAGTAATTGCCCCAAATAGGATCAAAACACAGTTAAAACTTCAAAATAGGAGTTCATGTTTAATTTTCCCTAAATAGGACTAAACATTACCATTATGCCCTTAATATAATTAAAGCCCCAATCCATCGTCGGCTATTGAAGTCTGAAGAGCAGTGAGCGAGCTTCTCTCCCTCTTCGCTATTTTTTTCTCCACCTTCGTCAATCACTTCTCAGCCATCGCCGAGTTTGTCTCCAGTCCCGCCGCCTCGCCTCTCCAGCCGCGCCGTCTCCCCTACCTGGTTTTCCATTGTTGTCGCTGGAACTTAGAGTATGCTTCTATTTCATCCAAGGTAGGTCCTCTTCTTCCTCCTTTTCTTCTTCTTCTTCTTCATCTTCTCTTCTTCTCCTCCTCCTCCTCATCTTGTTCCTGGTGCTCTGCTTTTTTATTTTTATCAATGAGATTCTAAATAAAAATTTGATTTTGAAAATTCATATGAAGGGTTCGATTTCAACAAAGAACCGGTCAAATTTTTATTTTTTTAGATTTGGGACTTCTGGATATGAATTTTGAGGCTCTGTCAATTGTCCTTCGAAAATGCCATCATTTAAAAATAATGACAATTTAATGACATTGCATTTGTTATGATGACAGTTTTGACCCGTTTGTCACTTTACTCGAAAATGACATGTTAACATCAAAGGCAAAAATATGACATTTTTAGATGCAAAAACATGTCAGTTTTGAGATTACAACATGACATTTTTAGATGTAAAAACATGTCATTTTTGAGATTATAACATGACATTTTTAGATGCAAAAATGTCGTCATTTGTCAAAAATGTCAAAATCATGGAAATTTCAAACATATAATACTGTCATCTCCAAAAATTGCCAATGTGTCTCCAAAAATTGCCAATCACGTGGCTTTTTCAAAAATTGCCAATGTGTCTCCAAAAAGTTGACATAACAAAAAAATTAGACCGAAATAATTTCGATTAATTGATAGAACCGTGAATTTCAAATCCAAAATTTTTAAATAAAAAATATGACTGAAGAAGAAAGGAGCAGAGAACAGAAGAGAAGGAAAAGGAGAAGAGGAAGAAGGAGAAGGAGGAAAAGAAGAAGAAGAAATACTTACCTGGAGATATGTCGACCTGAGCAGTGGAGAGGGAAGCAAAGTAGACCTGCGGACATGGGAGGTTGTTATGCGTTCGGCGGTGTCATGTTTTTTAATTGGGGGCAGTTTAGTCAGATGAGTTTTTTTTAGTCTCATTTTTGACCAATAAAACATAGTAGTCCTATTTTTGTAATTTCCCTTTCATTTAGTCCTATTTCGACGATTCTCTCTTTAATTTTTTAAATTGAATGTATTTCTAGTCATGGAGTTTGAGTTTGAGTTTCAACACAAATATGCTGGAGAAAGAATAAACCCTAATTAAAACCCTACATTCCTTAATTATTGCGCCTCTTTCCCCTACTGAATTATCAATTATGCCTAGGATTTGGATTATAGTTTTTCTTTTTTCTGCATCTTCTTTAATCTTTATGGACGTACTAAAACTTCCTCCACAGTCCACATGCATCAAAATAAAAACGTGGGTTGATAATTTATTTATACAAGTAAGAAGTAACACAATTGTTATTTCCTTAAAAGGAATGAAAGTCTTATTTTCAATCACCAAAATAAATACAGTAGAACTTTAAATTAGGACGATAAATACGTGATCTAAAAATTCGGAACTTGCATAGATATGACACGGATTGACGGATGATTTCGTGCCAAATAGCTTGGGAGCCTTGGGTAAAATGTTTTTGAAACGGATTTGACATTTTGACATAATCCTTATCCTCTGCCAATTTTTTTTGTCAATCCCGTGTTTTTTGTAGTGTACGGAGTATATAATTACGGGCTAATCTGTTATGGTTTGAGCTATAGCCTCATATGTATGTGCCGCTTTATGTTTGTTCTAGTTTGTTTTAATTTATTCTAATCTGACCAAATCATCTTTAATTTGTATGATACAAGTCCAAGTAAACAGTTCATCATACCTCATGTTCTCCTGCCCTTACCCCTGCTGCTGAACGTTGGTGAGGATGGGCTCAAACCATGAGAATATATTCGATACATTTCTGATTGTGCTTGAATTTACTTTAATTTCGGTCCACAATGTTGTAAGCAACTACGCATATGCTAGATTAGCAATTGCCAAATTGTGGATTTTCCCTAAAAAAATTGTCAAGTTTGACCGGCACGTAGAATAATAAAGTAAAAAGTGTGTGGTAGAGATTTGTGCAGAGGAGAGAGAAATAACAGGAGCCACAAATTGATTAAATAAAAGGGAAAGTGGTACAGTTTTTGGGATAATCAAAAAAGAAAAGTTGGCAAAATTATAAGGGACGGAGGGAGTAAAAAATATTGCTACCTCCGTCCCAAAAAAATCTTCACTTAACTTTTTGGGATGTCCCAAAAATTTCTTCTCATTTCCCTTTTTGGAAAGGTTTGCGTGACTACCATTCATTTACTTTTTTTCTTATTCAACCACAACCATACATTTTCACTTTATTCCCACTTTCTTAAACTCCGATCCAAGTCAAACCGGGAAGTATATGTGTAAGTGACTAAATGTGGAAGTGGTATAATAGTCATGGGACCTCAAATGGCCCAAAATGGCCCAAAATACTCAGCCCTACTTTATTACTAAATATGGACAATCTGAAAGTAAGGGACTAAATGTGGAAGTGGTATAATAGTCATGGGACCAAAAGTGGAATTCTTTCTATTAAAAATATAAATCTTCCTCATTTAGGAGTAAATAAGTCATATTTAAGGGATTTTCCTATTTGTACACTTCGTATATGTTTTAGTCCATATTTTCTCAATACATCATACGAGGCACTGCGTTCTTATTTGTTAAAACTATTTTACAATGTTTCCTTATCAATAATGTTACAAGTATATAGCTAATCAGAATACAAATAGAAAGGTTATACCACTTTAAAAGAAAATGAGATTTTATTGGCGTGTTGCGAGCGTTAATATTTATGGCTATAATCCGCCACTTCAAGTGGCGGTTCTTTAACTATGGTTAACTCAATAACATTTTGGGAAATACTTTTTAGAATGTGATTGACTCTGAGTCTGGTTCGAGGGCTGACGATTGAGTGTTGACTTTTTGTCTTCTTGTTACTTGCCTGAATTCTGATATTTCAATATAATCCACCTTCTTTCAAAAAAATGTTTCCTTATGAATTTTTACAAAGACTAGGGAATTGATGAGGAGTTTTTTTTTTGAAGAAATGATAATTAATCATCATTAATAGCATCATTGTTCAATACATGAGAACATGTAGCTTGAGCCAAACCATGAGCCGCCTTATTCACTGAACGCCGAGAAAAAGAAATCTCCATGAAGCAAGAAGGCTAAAGGGTCAAATAGGTCCATGTACTCATATCAATAGCTCAATTGGGTACCCGAACTAAAAAAAGGTCCAATCCAATCCTCCAACTCTTCAAAATCGTTCAATTTTTTCGTTTTTTCAAAGGCTAAAGGGTCAAATAGGTCCCTGTACTCATATCAATAGCTCAATTGAGTACCGGGAGTTTACCGGCTAAACGAAAAAATTGAACGATTTTGAAGAGTTGGAGGATTGGATTGGACTTTTTTTGAGTTCAGGTACCCAATTGAGGTATTGATATGAGTACAGGGACCTATTTGACCCTTTAGCCAACCAAGAATGTAGCTCTCTAATATCTCCTGCGATGACTCCCGCCAAAGACTCGCTTGAACCATTCCGAATCTCCAAGATCAAATCCCACCCACCGTCTTTCACCCAACTAAGCGCTTCCCGGAATTGATGAGGAGTTATATTTTTTGTGTGTAAACAAAGTTATCCATAAGTAGTTAATTAGTACGGCAGCCCGCATTTGTTTTTTTAATTTTTTATTGAAAAACTAAAGAGAAAAATCGCGAAAACAATAGCTCACTGGCAGTGATGAATTCATGATTTTATGTTTTTATACATAGTATATTGTATTATAAATATATAAAAAATAGATTTTCTATACCAAAATATACGTTGTATATTACATGGGGTATATTATAAGGGTATAATTAGATTATAAACATACACTTTTGTTTGAGCTTTATTGAATTTACTCAGATCGACTATGTTTGATATGGTGTAATGTAATGCAATACAAATTGTAATGTAATGGAATGAAATCAATATTCCATTACTATGTTTTATTAGCAGCGTCAAAACATCCAGGAAAAAGAAAAAGTGCAGATTTAGAATGGAAAAAATATATCTGGTGGGAGAGGGAGCAGTTGGCCGCACAAAAAGAAACACAAGAAAATATAATCTCAAATACATAACTTTTCTAATGTAATGTTTATTACACATTAAGAGCCCGTTTGGTAGCACGAAAATCGGCTGTTTTGGCTGATTTTGCTGAAATTTATGAAGTTCTGGCTGAAGTGGCTGCATTGGCTGATTCTGCTGATACAAGAAAAAAATATTTTTAAAATATATTTTATTAATAAAATAAAGAAAAAATTATATGTAAAAATAGCTAAAATGATCATCTACAGTAACTTCAGTCAATACAGCCAGAAAAGTAACTCCAACCTTACATTTTCGGCTTATTACACAATTCAGCGCGCGATAGCAAAATTTGCGTGTTTGGTAAAAAAGTTGGCTGATAAGGCTGATAAGCCAAAAATGAGGGTTGGCAAACAGCCTCTAAAATAATGGATTCTACGTATGTAATGCATATTACTAGTACATTACACTTTAAAATAAAATGTGAAACCAATTATTGTATTTGAATCAACGCGTAATCATTATGTTAGATGATTGGTTATATACTATCCTCCGTATCTCATTAATTGCAACATTAGAATATATACACTATTCATGTACTTTACTTTGTCTACGTTTTATTTATTAATGTATGTGATTTTTTTTTTTTTGAAAAATGTTGTTAAATTCGTCTCATTATTAATATAAGTTTTATAATCTGATTTTTAATTTATTTTTACTAATACAGAATTAAATATAATGATGGCCAAAGTTTTGCGTGTGCAAACGTGAAATGTTGACTGTTGCAACTAAAAAGAGACGGAGGAAGTATATGACAAGCTAATGAGCTAACTTGATTTAAGTTTTGATCTGAACAATATAATACATACAACTATTAGGGACCAAAATTATTTAGGAGTATACATATTTGACTTACTAAATATGAGAATGTTATATGATCATACAATTCATACATATTCAATTACATGATCAAAATAAAAAAAATGAAAATAAATTATTTGTAAAACCAATCAAGAACGAACTGTACATGTTTGTTAATGATAGATACAGAGTTGTTGCTTTCCCCTCTTAGAATCCGGTCACACAACAGAACATCCTGTGACTCTTGAATTTCCCGAGTCGTTTGGACTTAGAAGAAGCAACTCCGGCTTCACACTCCGGCGAAAACCCACCGGAATAGTTCATTTTCCGGCCGCCGTGTCTCCTCCTCCCGTCAGTACTAGCTGCCACGATGAAGTGGTCGTCAGCATCATCACCAACATTAGAGTTACTAGGATAGAAGTGTGGTGGTATGTTGAAGGTGCCAGCCGCCGCCGTCCCGGAGGAGAGGCACTCGTACCGCCGGCGAGTTATGCTTCTCTTGATACTCCGGTAAACAAATGGAATCAGACCCTCCATTTAATGTTAACTTGGGTTGACGTGAAGAGCCCGCTAGAGGATTATACTCCGCATTTCCTATGGCCGGGGACTTGTTTAGTTCTTTATGCTCGAGTTTGGTGAAGTCAAGTTTGTAATTTATACAAGAAAATCTATGTATACGAAATTGGCATAAAATAGTGAGAAAATATACAGAGCAAGCTGACGTGACAATGAATACTCGAGATGCTCTAAATATTTTAGATAAATGATTTTTTTAGGAAAAAGACGACTTAAATTGATATCACAACATTTAGAAAGAGAAAAGATGATAAAATGATCGCTTCTAACCACCGACCCTCGAACCAGATTTAGAGTCAATCACCCTGTAAAAAGCAATATGGCCCGCTCATCCTGTTATGGATCTTAATGAGACTAACGCGATTAAAATAGACACCTCATTGTCCAAACCTAATGCAAGAGTCCAACAAGAATAAAGATAAATGATAACAACAAAAATAGTCTAATCAAAGCAAATAACAAAGAAAAAAACATAATAGTGGAACTTGAGCTGCACTCTCATAATCCTGAAGATCTTCCCATGTCCTTCCCTGACTTGGAGCGTCTTTACTCTTCAGGGCTCTCAGCGGGTCTAGAGACCACCAAGACCCGCCGCCTCTCCGTTTTTTGGGAATCCAGTGCATTGTTGTCCCCTCCACTATCGCCGTGCTGCATCTCCTCCCACATCCTCCTACGCTTCTACTCTCCCGGGATCCCCTCCGTAACTGCTGCTTCATCCTCCTCAGCTCTAATCTTGCTGGCGTCCACCATGGTGAGAGTCCAGTGCTGCCCTATGTCCCAACTTTTCCATCTTTGTCATTGTCTTTACCAATTACCCTAATGATTGTCCTGCTGAGTCGAGCCTCTCTCACCTGAAGAGCCTTCTAGGACCAACCATTTGATGACCCCCGTCGAGTGAGATTTCCCTCCCCCTTCAGCACGGAAACCAACCTCATAGGGTTCGTTCAACACTTTGTTCTCACACTCATAAGTCAGAGGGCAAAATCTATCAGCATGACCAATGATACATTGATACCACATGCAAAACAACGACTAGGAAGTTTTTGTATTTAAAATCCACCCAATGGCCTCTACTTCGTCCTTTCCTAAGAGTTGTACGTGTCCATTTTCAAAGCTTTCCCTACGTCCATACAAACCTATTTCTCATGTAGGAATTTCATCTCTCTTCAAACTGGCTTTCATCAAAACTGATAAATTTGTCAATAAAATTACCAACTCTCCTAGCCACACCTAAATTCATAAAGTCACAAGGTACATTATGTACCTGCACCCCAAATTCAACCTCATTTAGAGGGACCCGAAGGGAAATGTCTCCCGGTTTTATTGCCCTTAGTACCAGCAAATTCTGTTCAAAAAGCCACGATCCACTTCCAAGAACACGTTCCATGTCAACAATGTGATAAAAAGTAAACAAGTAACTTTTTTTCACCGATCTCTTTGATTGAGATCCTTTTCCCAGGACGTCATAGAGAAGCCATGAGATCCCTGAACACTGAAAACTTCACCATTCTGTTCGTGAGAAGAGTACCCACGACTGGGAAATAACACTGCGATCCGAGGCCTTTCCCTCGACGTCGATCTGCTCATCGAAAACTAGCTCGTCCTCATCTCCACCGATAGCCATGTTGTCGCACTTGTTGACAATATCTTCCATCTCTTCTGTTTCACACTACTTCTCTCTCGAGCTGCAAGAGAATGTTGTTGGCTTCGGAATTAGCCTACCTCATTCCTAAGGCAGCGTCGACCAACGGCCCTGCTTCACTTCTGCCATACAGAGGCACAAAAGGAGCACACAAAAAATCTAACCCTACGCTTATATTTTCTTTAAAATATTTAGATTAATTGGCCATCTCCTTCTCTTGTAACGTATTTTAATTTTATTCGACTAACGTATAGAATAATAAAAGAAAAATGTGTGATTTAGATTTATGTAAAAGCTAGGAATAATAGAACTCCGCAATTGATTATTAAGAAGAGAATCAATTATTCAAAAGAAAAAGTGACATTTCAGAAATGTGACTATAAAATTCCAAAAACTCACCAATCGGTCCTCGACCGGTACCGAGTCGAGGGGTATGATGACCACCCGCGATTGCAGTATCCCCTCTACACATATAAGAATACAACATGCAATAGCCGCACATGTAGCTCACTTGAGCGAGTGGTGGGAAAGTTGGAGAAATAATCAATGATCAAAACTTACAGCGATCGTGTGGATGTTACAACTTCTGTGTATTGGGGTTGGACCTCTGGTACACACGAATATAAAGTCTACCACCATTAGGCTGACTGAGTCGACGTAATTTACAACTTTTCATATGCCTTGCTGGGTCGACACATAAAGGATCTAACCTTTTAGAGAAAGGGAGGAATACTATATGCAACCTTGAAGGTAACAGTTATCATTCATACCTATTAACTAGGATAATATATCAACAAATCATAACAAGATCGGGTCATCCAAGCAATATTGAGTTTTTTATAAATAATGAATCAGGATGCTTAGACTTTACTTGTTCTGCTCATAGAACCCTTCATTTCTACATGAATTGCATTTGTTTCTTTTGAGATTTATTTTTTATTTTTTATCATTTTGTGTAATAATTTTTATGACTTCTTATGATGTTTAGACTTATGAATGTTAAATAATTAACTTTCTTGAACTTCTATTTTTCATAAAATTGATATATATCATTCATATGAAGTGATTTATATAAATCAACAAAGTGCATTCATAAAAAGTATGAATTTTAAAGTATGAGATTTGTAATTTTAATCTCATAACTTTCAATTATTTTCATTATTGGTTATGTAATTTTAATTATTTGCAATTTATCTTGTAAGGCTGTAACTTATACATATTTGCAATTTAAAGACTTCCATAAAAGTACATTTTCCAGCAAATAATATACTGAAAATGATGTCACTGGCATCAGATTTACTACGTATTAATTACAATATCAAATTTATCAGAGTTACAAGACTAATAACAATCACATCTAGAAGTTGATTAAAAGTGCAAATCATTCCTTTAAAAGTCCATGGAACTTTTTTTTTTAAAAAAGTCAAATTTAGGTGTTTTTGTTTATTGCTAACAATTATTTTTTCCCTAACGAGTTCTTGGTATTGTTTATGTCACCACATAAATCGAATTGTTGCCCTACGGTAGAAGTGTAAAACATGAAGAGGCCAGCTATATTAATTGGCTTGTGATTTATGATCGAATTATAGATCTTTAGAACAATGGTTGGTATTATTTGAACTAATTTTCCGGAAAAGAATCAACTAAATAATTTGCCAAGTATTCAAATCATTGCATTATGACTTGAATTTTTTTAATTGATACGATTTGGTGATATAACACACGCATGTCATCTTCTTCCAGGATGACATTCTTATATATATGTTTTTACTTGGACTGTAATTCGTCCCAGACCAGATCAGATCAGACCAGATCAAACCAGATCAGACCAGACCAATTCAGACCAGACCAGACCAGACTTGGATAATTATAAAAATACAAAGAAACCAGACCAGAAAGACCAATACAGACCAGACCAGACCAGACCATATCAACAAATTACAGTCCAAGTAAAAACATCCTTAATGGGATTAAGATATATAGTGATATTGTGTGGTGGAAAGAGTGGTGGAGAGGAGAGAGAAATGTGTAAGAATGTGTAACAAATGTTGTGAACCACAAATTGTTTATCAAAAAATGAAAGAAGAGATAATTTTGGGATCAAACGATAAAGGAAAGTTTGAAGATCATATTGGGATAGAGGGAGTATGATTCATTCTCAATAAACGCATTTTGTCATCATTATTCCTACAAGATGATACATTTTCTCCTTACAACGACGCAACACGTTTAGAGAGTCATTTGCTTTATTCCATCGTACATTTCCACGATACTTTAGGCCGGCAAATTTAGGTCATTCTCTAATCTCATTCAAAGTATAAAAGTTGAATCACTACCAATGTACTATAGTATGATCATGGCTGCTAAAAAATAATTTTCTTTATCATTTTAATATTACGTATCATACTCTGTGCTATTAGTAATAAGTTTAATAATACTCCGTAGTAATTTACACAATATATTCGGTGAGTCTTACAACGACCTGAGCGATATGTACTTTTAAAAGTGAGTGGTTAAAGTGTTAAACTAAGCATTCCAGCCCAGCTGGTTGTGAGGTTACCGTGTCTAGTGGGAGGTTTCGAGTTCGAAACCCGCTAGGTACATAAGGGTTTGAAACTCAATGGGTTGAGTTTCAGTCCTGATTACTCCAGGACCCCTCCCCCGAACCCCTCGAGTAAAAAAAAAGTGAGTGGTTAAATCAAACTCATTTAAACAAAACGAATTCATTAAAGATACTCCCTTCGTCCTAAATTGTTTTGCAAGGTCAATATTTTTTGGTCAACCAATAAACAAAGTCAATGCTCCCTATCGATAATTAATTAATTCCATTTTTAAAAATTAAAATTTATATATTCAGAAACTATATTAAAATCTCTTCAAAGTTGTAAACTCCAAATTAGAATATTATTAAAAATTGACATCCTAATTAAAAACTGTTTGATCAAGAAAAGTCAAATTTGCAAATCAATTTGGGATGGAGTTAGGATTGAATCTGAGTGAGGAAAGGAATCTCGAGCAAGCATTTGGACAAAACAATATAGACACGCATATGTGAGTGATGGTGATGTATGAACTGAAAAACCCCATGTATATAATTGACATATCCAAAGAATGCTTTAAACTTTCTGCCTTAATTTTCTATGGAAGGATGTGCGGACTTGTTATATTTGTCTTTGGTGTCTATGTCAACTTGTTTAGTTTAAGTAAAAGTAGATTAGGTGAACAATTCATCTCACACCTATATCCCAAATAATTTATACTATGAAGTCATGAATTTTAGATTAAGATATTTTTTAGCCTTTTAGGTAATTGTCTGATCGATTACGAAGGGCTTTAGAGATGAGATCTCATCTTTTATAGTTTATTCTAATATTTTAATTATGTTTGAGAGCATGATGAATTTAAATAATTTTGGTCATCTTCTTAGTTAAATAA